ACACACACACACACACACACACAGAAACAATAGATTTATCAATTTTCTTGCATAGTTACACAGTTTCGAAAAGCATTATAAAGGTGATTATCATGCATACGATATATGAATACGATTGTATTAATCATTTATTAATTAATAGGTACTAATCACTACGGCCACTTTGGCCTGGGGTGTTAATTTCCCCGCTCATCTAGTGGTGATAAAGGGTACGGAATATTACGATGGCAAATTGAAGCGTTACGTAGATATGCCGATAACGGACGTTCTTCAAATGATGGGTCGTGCTGGCAGACCGCAGTTCGATAACTCCGGTGTGGCGGTCGTTCTTGTGCATGACTTGAAGAAGAATTTCTACAAAAAATTTCTATATGAACCATTCCCCGTGGAATCGAGTCTTATGACAGTGTTACCCGATCATATTAATGCCGAGATCGTTGCCGGTACCATCAAGAACAAACAAGAGTTTCTCGATTACTTAACATGGACGTATTATTTTCGAAGATTGATGAAAAATCCGCAATATTACGATCTGGATATCTTGGAGCCTCACTGTATCAACGAATATCTCTCGAGATTGGTAGAGACCACCGTAAAATCATTAATGGATTCACATTGTATCGATTACGATGAGGTAATGAGTAGCATAATATAATTTACATTATTTACACTAATATACAACGCTTTAATATCATTTTATCTAGGACGTGCAAACTCTAGTTTCATTGCCGATGGGTAAGATAGCGTCATTCTATTATCTGTCGCATAATACGATGTTGATGTTTACGCAATCGCTACAGGAGAACTTTACGTTAGATCAGTACTTACGTATACTCTGCGACTCGCATGAATATAATGAATTACCTGTGAGACATAACGAGGAATTATTGAATGAGTAAGTCATTCGCTTCCTTCGATCTTTTTTTTTTCTTTTATTATTTTTTTTTCTATAAGCGTGAATGTTCAACAGGGAACTAGCGAAACTGTGCCGTTACCCTGCAAATCAGTACGATTCTCCACATACAAAAGCATTTCTCTTACTGCAAGCACATTTCTCAAGGCTATCATTACCTTGCACCGATTATATCACTGATTTGAAATCAGTGCTCGATCAAGCAATCAGAATAATACAGGTATGAATAAGATTGATATATAAAATGCATAATAATGCCTTTTATATGTACATTTAGACTCGGTTACTGACGAGAGAAAAATCTTTTTAGGCAATGATCGACACAGTCGCGGAACGCGGATGGTTAACGAGCACATTAAGGATAATGCAACTGTTTCAAATGATTGTGCAAGCACGATGGATAGATGAATCTGCAATAACGACATTACCATATATAAGGAAGGAAGATTTGCACTTATTTTCATCGTTATCGAGAGCTCTTCCAATATTGTGTTCCGTCACATGCGACAATTATAATAAACTTGAAAAGGTTTTACGTGAAAATTATCGGGTAGACCAAATACATGAGGTAATAGAAAAATTAAAAAAGATATTGTTCCATAAAAGGATATTCTATAAAAAGGATTTTGTTAAATTCATATTAAAAAATTTAGGAGAATCCCTATTTTCTATTTAGATACAACAAGTAATTAGAAACATGCCGAGAATATCCGTTGATTTAATGTTGGAAAATTCTTGGGATATCAACGTTGAAAAGAAGCAAATGTTGAAGCTGAAGAACGATGATTACGTACCTGTTCGACGGAATGAGGAGCATACATTAATCATTGGATTAAAAAGAATGAATAATTCCAAAACTTTAAAAGCACATTGTCCAATGTTTTTAAAAGGAAAGGATGAAAGCTGGTTCTTGGTACTAGGCGACATTCAAAATAGAGAATTGTGGGCTCTAAAGAGGGTATCTGGTATAAATAATCAGCTGAGATATCATCAATTGCAATTTACTACACCTAACAGTTTGGGTAAGCTTATCAACTTTTGTAACGCGTGTCTCGTACTTTTTATAAAGTTTCTTAAAATAAAAATTTGAACATTTATTTTAGGAACGACAAAGTTGGCGTTCTACTTGATCTCTGATTGCTACATGGGACTGGATCAACAGTACAGTATTTGTTTAGATGTAACATGCTAAATATTTAAACAGTAATCAAATACGGAGACCAAACCTAAGACTGAACACAGCAGGTGATATTGTATTTAATTGATAGTCTTTTAGTCTTTCTATAACGTTAATATGAAAAAGGAAAGAAAAAGAGAGTTTATAAGATTGTTAATGTATACATTGAGAGGAAATTAGCGAGAGAGAGAGAGAGGGGGGGGATGAGATGAAATTTGTTATAAACACGGACATAACTATGAGATATTTATCGCGTTGTACAGAAGAGAAATAGAGAGAGCGAGCTTGTATATTTTTCTTCACGTAATTTTATTACACGTCTATGAAATATATATATATATATATACATATATATATATATATATATATATATATATATATATGGATTATTTTTTTTTTTTTTTTCATACAAATATAAACCTTATTACCTCGGTATATAAAGATAGAAAAAGCAACACGTGCAGGATCAGTTGTATGATTTCGTACAATATTTTTGTCACAAACGAGTTCTCTTACTACGAAATGAATTGATTGCTGTATATCATTTGTTTAATTAATGTTTTAGCGAAAGGATTCTATATCTAAAATCACTTACTCGAGAAATATATTGTTCGATGGAGAAGTTTGTAATACATAAAAAAAGTAACATTAGAAATTAAAATTATTGTACACATTTAGATTATATATATATATATATATATATATATATACTGACCCTTTCTCAAATTTACATCGTGTTACAGTAAATATAATATTAGTTCGGTTTATTTCTCCTTTCTCCCCTCTATGCTTAGATAACAATAGATTATAGAATAGGAAGGATATGAGATCGTTCCATTGCTTTGTATGAAAAGAAAAAATTGTGTGTGTGTGTGTGTGTGTGTGTGAGCGCGCGCGCGTGTATTTTACATCCTAGAGTTCAAAATTCTCGTATCGATTATAATACAGATTGTTCATACTATGAGCATTGAAGAGACTTTACAAAATATATATGAGAACCTAGTAACCTAGTAACACATTTAATTTAATTTGAATCATAATAAAATACCGAAATAATTAAACTTTTGCTTTGTGTGTTATATTAATTATATTTAATTTTGAAAACTAGGGATTTAATAGTCTTATGTCCTCATATGAAACATTTAAAAAGTATAATATTATTAAAATATTATGTAGTTCAAATAGCAAGCATTATCTTTAAAACAGATATTTTCGTAATTCTAGTCTAAATTAATCTCAATGCCAATCTAAAAACAATTTTAAAATTATTTCACAATTCATAGCCTAAACATAACAGAATTTTTGAGCACCACGAAAATTACGTTATTTCTAAGACAAATAATACATTTAAATTTAGGTATAAGTTACCAATTATAATATATCTAGTTTTTAAATTTCTTATTTGAAAGTGTCAACAACATTCTCTTCTTTGCCAATAGTTTGAAATCTGTTTTTTTTTTTCAAAAGTATAGATGAAACACACTTTGCTATTAATTCTAAAAGATTTATCGAGAATCAAAGCAAAGAAATATTTAAGCTCCTTCCTATACACATGAAATCTGGAAGTACTGAATATATCTCTTGTAAGTAATAAACCGAAATGCATTTATGCAAAAATTTTGATAATAATAGTACATCTCTATTTGTTAAATGTAGCGCAAGAATTGATATTTGTCCCAATACCCATCGCGTAGTCATGTAATACAAATAATATTAGAAATTGCAGCAGTTAAAATAAATTCAATATCTTCTCTTGCATTATAAAATCTCAACATTCAGCCTAATCTCGTTTAATGATTATAGAAGTTTACTGTCATGTTAAACATCATTCCACTTTAAGAAAAAAATGTTTATGTTCAGACTGGCCAATGACCATACTTGAATTGTATAGTTATCACTCAAGAACTAAGGAAGCACTAGCATAACTGACAGAACTGTCATTCATATTGTTACATTGACTACTTTGAGCATATTTCAAAAATTTCAGATTCATTCTTTGACCATTTGTATTTCCTTTAAGACTGTGAATTACCTGTGTGCAAAGATAGAATACAGAGCAGTATTAGTTAAAAGAATTAAAATCTAACTCACTTATTTAATGTGGACATTTAATTTTCTCATATTACCTGCAACAAAACGCCAATTGGATGCCGGCCACATATAGTATTACCATATTTCTTAAGATACTCGGTAAACATTGGAGGATTCAAAGTCTCTATAATGTCCATACCCTAATTTAATAAACATAGGTTTATTAGATGTTGCAATATTTTTACATTTATAATGCATAATGAGATTGTCTGTCCTTGCTCAAAGAAAAGAAAAGACATTAAAACATACCATTTTATCGAGGTTTTGGATAGATCTGTGTATAGGTCCACATGATCGATCGTAGTAAGTATAGCGAAAACGTTGTCCCCAGTGACAGAAATCTGAAGAAATGACGAACAATGTTTGCGGATCAGCCATGTAAGGTGCTAACAGTCTCCCGTAAAGCGCTTCTCTTTCTGGACTCAAAGATCCCACCAAAATTGGGATTATGGTAAATGAATCCTTGAATCTACATGTATGAGACATACACAGGCTCATATAAACAAAATAATCATTTTCCATACTTATTTAATAATAAACAGAAAGTGCGTAAACCTCACTTGCTATAATTTTTTATCAAACTAACTTTTCAATATTTTTGATGGATTTAAGTGGAAATTAATTTATATATCTCAACATACCCTTCCATAACTTTAGCAATAAATGGCAACTGCATCTCAATGCTATGCTCTTCTTCATCTGTGTTCAGATCCATGCATTCAAAATGACCGGTCTCTTCCAGTTCTCTTCTCACTATTAAACATTTATATGCTTTTTAATGAATTTATTTCAAGGATAATATACAGCAACAAGCGCACTTTCAAATATTTTTTTCCAGTAAACAAAACACTTTTTTTAAAATAAGAAAATATAATACAAGATATGCAGCAAAATCTACATATAAGCACCTTGTTGATCAATATGTAGATCATATAACGGTGTTCGGTAAATGGAAGCCGAAGATAGGGCACAACCTGGTAATCTCACATGATGAGAAGGCCCTAGAATAAATATCCTACGGCTGCATAACAGCACGTTGCACGGTTCATTTGACTGAGAAATTTGAAAAATTACAAACTAAACTATATATTATAGAGCTACACTTTAGATGATGAAAATTTTCATTGAAAATTACATTGCAACTATTAAACAATCGCGATATATGTATAGACTGATATTCCTTTTTATAAGGATTACGTTATTACAAAAACAAAATTATGTACAAATAACATAGATGTTATAAGCCAGGATACATAAATTATGTATATGTATATACATATATATATGTCAACTATAAAATACAACTAAATACTTGTTAGTAAAATGCTAAAATAATATAGTTAATATAATTTACACTTACACAACTACAGGACTAATTTGTCGATAAGCAAAACCAGCACATGCTCCGCAGTAGCTATATCCTGCGTGCCTGTAAAATTAGACATTTTTATGTATTTACACATGTGTATGTATTTTAATAAAACTTGAAGAATATGTATTATATATTGGATGATTACTAACGGAGCAATGATTGCTCTTGCAGGTCCATGGGATAAGTCAGCCGCGCTCAACCAACCTTCCAATTGCTTGCTCAATTCCGAACCTATGACAAGTGGAGTTTGGACTTTGATAATATATAAAATAAAATTATACATAAATACATATGTATATAGACATCTGTTTGATGCAACAATTATAGAATTATAGAATTTATACATCCTATTTCAAGTAGTTTTTTTTAAATATATTTTTATCATATATATCACATGTGTACATTATTATATGGGATATAAGGTATAGGAAAAAAAGAAAACAAACAAAAAAAGAGGGAAAAAAGGAGGCAGGGAAGGAGAGAGAGAGAGAGAGAGTGTGTGTGTGTGTGTGTGTGTGTATGTGTGTGTGTGCGGGTGGATGAGTGGGTAGTGTGTATATATTTGCATTTCTACAAGAGCAAATCATCAAATTTAATTTTAACTTCTTTAATTGTGTATTATATTATCATAGTTCTATGCACACAATCAATTAATAAATTTGATAAATTCGTATTAAAATAAAATTTATTAAAATGTGAATTTACAATTGAAAATATTGATGAAAGTCTATTCTATCAAGATTTTCTATCAAGTAAACAAAATCAATCATGTCAACGAGCGAGGAAGAGCGAATAAGTAAAAAGTAAAATGCATTTTTCGATCTCTTACCAATATCCGAGTACCAACTACCAGCGTGAGAGGCTCTCCTAATTAATGCCATTTTTGGGCCGAACGCGTCGTTTCGTTCTTCTATCGCGTCGTCTTGTACGTACTCTGCGTAGCTTCGCGTTCAACGCATTCAACGGCACTTCATCTAGCGTGAAAGTCTCAGCGAGATCACAAGCGAGATAAAAGTAAATTATATATATATATTTTTTAACCGAGTGTAAAATGTTTATAAAACGTTATTACAAAACTTTGGCTACTGGTCGTGTTCCATAGATTATTCAATAGATATAGATGAATGTTAAAATCCGATATGCAATCGACTGACGAAGGGCCGATTTGCAATCTGCAACACAAAGGCGCTTTCCAGATATAAAATCACTTTATGCACACACGGGTGTGCGAGTCTGCGCGTTCCAGGGTGCAGCTCCAATGTGAATTCTCCCTTAATACTCAATATATCTAGTGACTTTAATTGTGAGTAATACACCGAATCGTCGAGAAAAACCCTAGAATTGCGACGAAATGATCGGTCAAATTCGAGACTGTTCGCGTTTTGTCAAAGTGCCGTTACGTCGACGTAACGCGTAATATTTCCATGATCCGAAATGCACACGATCGAGGATGGAAATGTATATTACCACTCCCGCGAGTCGCGGTTGTGCTTCGGAGTTCGGAGTCTTTGGACCTTCCCGAGAGAGAGTCGATCGACTTAGCGCGCACAGTGCGCACACTGCGCACTTGGGATCCGCATCTCATCAGTGTCACTCGCTTGAGCACGGTTGTGCAAATTATTAATATGGCAGATGCTCGGGTCGGCCGTCTCTAGTGTTGTTTAAGTTCGTGAAACTGTGAGTGACAAAAAACAGTAGGTCCTGTTACCGAAGGGCACTGTGATGTATATGAGATTTTGATCGGCGCACGTCTCGACGTCCACGTGCGTATCCGCGATTTAACGCGCGCACGAAAGAGAGAAAAGCAGCGCGAGTGACGATATTGGCCCGCCCGTTCGGAATCGCGCGAGATCCCCTTGCCGTGTGCATCTACACCAACATCACCAACCAACCTCGACAACGAGAGGCACATCGACGACGTCTCCGCGCGCGCGCGCGCGCGTGAGAGAGAGAGAGAGAGAGAGAGAGAGAACGAGCGAGCGAGCGAACGTTTTTCTTTTTTTTTTTTTTTAACATTCGTCCACTTTGTTTATCATCACGAACACGATGGAATTCGCCGCTTCGTGATACGCAGCCGGTGCCCCGCGCTCGTCCCAGGTACTTGTTGTCGCGCCGCGCGGAACTTGCGCTTTTCTTTTATGTTATTTTGACGTCTTGTGCACTGTATAACCTTTCGTCCCCTCGTCCTCTCCCTCTCTCTCTCTCTCCCCCTCCCCCCTTTGTGCTTGTCAATCTGTCTTTCGATAGCGGAGACGATTGGAGTCGATTGGCCCGCGCTGCTTGTGTTTATTTGATACGCGCGGCGACTCGCGACTGTGTGTTTGCAGACAGACTTTAGGTATTTCTCATAATTTTCGAGAGAAATGAACGAAGGAACGAACGTATACGTTAGCATCTTTATTGTGTGTTATGTTTCTACAAGGTAGAGCTAGCATTAGCGATCGACCCTACACGTATACGCATGTTAGCTGTCGCGAATTTCTGGATTTACTTTTTTTGTTTTAAACATCCGAGACACTGGACAGTAGACTCGACGTGATTGGATGCGTAGTCAACATTAGATTTAATATAAATTTTTCGCGGTTGAGTTATTATTGTTGTTAAGTAATAGATTCACATGTGACGAAAGTATATGTTAATGGTATCCACTGTAATAACTTATTATGATTATAAACATGACAATTATGAAGATCTGTTTACTGTGAAACATTGATCGAATACATTCAATAGATAAGTTGACACGTTATACATTCAAATCTCAACAATCGTTACATAGGCAAAATCAGAATTCTTACCGTAAGAATATTTATTTCTGTATGCGTCAGACGTAAGAAACTTATATCTGTGTGCGTGCGTGCGTGCGTGTACACACACACACACACACACACACACACACACGTATATATTTATATAAATGGCTCCTTTGAACATTAGAAGGTTATATCTTACAAAAATAATTATTTTGCTTGTTATTAGGTGTGTTATCGACTCTGCACTGCATTTTAATGTAACTATCACGGAGACGCTGCGCGAAGAAGGAGGTAAATAATATTGACAGTGCATTTTGAGTCATTGGTCAGTGTTTACATTAAACAAGGACTTGATTGAAATTCTTCTTGTTCCAGGTTACAAGTGGTTATTACGTGTCCTTGTCATGGATCATTGGCGATCCCATGAAATTATCGAGTTTTCCAGTGTTGTACTAGAGAAAGAAAAGTGGATGTGCTAATCAAATTTGCGAAATAAAAGTGTTTGGTGTGCCTGCTTGCGGGCAAAAACATTTTTTTAATAGTAGTGCCACCGGGCTATGGCCAACCTGAACTTTGAACAGCCACCACGCAGTATTGCGAACGCAAGTCTTACTTCACGCGCAGCTGGTGGTGGGGGGGGTTTGAGTACCGTGGCCCTCGCGGGTCATGTCACACCTACCTCGGGCATGTTCTCAGGCTCGTCTGCAAGCACTTCAAATACAGCCAATTCAGCGATAGTCGCTACTAACGTTTATCCTGGGGCGTCGGGTTCTGCCGGCGGACAGAATAGTCATCAGCAACAGCAGCAACTCTCTCCTATGGGCAGTAGAGGACTGTTTGGGCAGAGAGCTTTTACCGACAGACGTACAATGCCTGCTCTTGGGTTAGTGCTTCTCGTTTTACATTTTTTTTTCTCCTTTTTCTTCTCTCTTTCTCCCTTCCCCTCTCTGCAATCATCTCCATCTGTATTGTAGAGCTTCGAATCCAATGGGTAGTATGGGCAGTTTTGGAATACCTCCAAGTCGCAATTACGGATCTCAAGGTGCGGTTAACAATTTCCACTCTGTTTTTGGGAGTGGAGGCGGTGGAGATACGAGTACTCCACCTCTGTTAGATCTCTCGGAGTTTCCCTCCTTAACGAATAGAGGTCAAGGTGATTCCATGCCGCAACCTAGTCCCATGCCAGGGAAACAGCCTTATGGTTAGTGCCAAGAAGACATAAATGCAAAAGCAGCCTTTTTTAGTACACACATTGTGAAATAATCCTTTATATTATAATACATTATATTTGGTTTGAATATCAATTTTTTTCCTTCTCGGTTAGAGAGCTCTCTACATAATTCTGTAATCATCATTTCATAATTTCTTTTATATTTCAAGCAAGACGAGCAACCGTACTCGGTTAAAATATTAAAATCTCAAAATAATATAATGTGTTTTAGTGCGTGCGTGCGTGCGTACGTATTTTAGGCCTTTTCAAATATTTTATGTAGATAATCATATTAAAATCACTTTGCTGATATAATTTTCATTTGTGTTACAGTTGGAATGGTAAAGCAACCAACATCCGAGTCCAGCGAATTTACCATGAGCTCGGAAGATTTTCCCGCATTACCAGGAACGCAAAATCGAGAAGGTCCGTCACCCGGTGGCAGCATGTCTGATAAAAATATTCCTGTAGGACTTGGTCCAGAAATCGGACAGGACTTGATACAGGCCAATAGAGCACCTGGATCTGAGAAATCTCAGTCTTCTAAAAGAGGCATCCAAACATCGCCCGATGGTAAGATCAGAGATTTGTTTGATAAACGTATCATGATTAAATTAATTGAGCTTTCTTACATATGTAATTATTGGATACACATAGGCAAGGTGACGAACATACCTGCAAGTATGGTGAAGGATCAATTCGGTATGGTTGGGCTTTTGACGTTTATCAGAGCGGCAGAGACAGATCCGAATTTAGTGTCGCTGGCGTTAGGTCAAGATCTTACTGCGTTAGGACTGAATTTGAATTCACCAGAAAATCTTTATCAGAATTTTGGTGGTCCCTGGGCGGAAACTCCATGTCGACCGCAGGATATAGATTTTCACGTACCACCAGAGTATCTTATAAATGCCGCGATCAGGTATTAATTTCCCAAAGCATTATTTAATTTATTATTGAAACTGTTTGCACTGTGTGTAAAAACTATAATATTTGTCAACTACATATATCGTATAATACATATATGAGCTGCTTTCATCAAATCATTTGAATGTTGCAGATATTAAAAAAACATTTTTTTTTATCTATATCTATCTATATTTAAAAAAATGGAATAATATAATAATAATTTTAATTTGACATTGAAATAAAATGATTGTGTTATTACCGTGTGTATGTGTGTGTATCTCATTTTAATTTCCCCATTTCAAGATATTTGTCTGGGAAAATTAAAATCGTACACCTTGCATGTATACAGAATGGTCGACTTAAATCGAACACCTTGAATATCATTTATTTTTAATGATACAAAAAGATGTTTCAGACGAAAGTTAAACGGCTTCGAGGAGGACATACTTTGGTAATAATTAGAGGAATCATATATAAAGAAAATCATAATTTCATTTAAAAAAGTAGAACTGATCTTGTATCTTTTTGGAGCCTCAACCTAGAAAAAAAATGACGTGACCAAAATGCTCTCCTCGAAGCCGTTTAACTTTCATCTGAAACATTTTTTCGTACCATCAAAAATGTGAGATATTCAAGGTGTCCGATTTAATGTGTGTATGTATATGTACGCGCGCGTGCGCGCGAAAGAGAATTACATAATTTGTAGAATAATCTTATATATTATTGCGCATAATTTATTTCAAAAAATTTAAATTTCTTATATTTATTTTATAGGGATAAGCTAGCGCCAGTTAAACTAAATCGATATAAAGATGATCTACTGTTTTATATGTTTTATACAAATGTTGGGGATGTATTGCAATTAGCTGCTGCGGCGGAACTGTAAGTAAAAAGAAAATTGATTTTTGATTGATTGATACTTGGGAGAATTAGCATAATGTGTGACGCTTATATAATTCTTTGTACGTGATATGAAGGTACAGCAGAGAGTGGCGATATCATATGGAGGAAAAAGTTTGGATAACGCAGGCACCAGGTTTGGGGATTGTAGAAAAGACGTCGACATATGAACGTGGTACTTATTATTATTTTGATGCGCAAAACTGGAGAAAGGTAGCTAAGGAATTCCATTTGGATTATGCAAAACTAGAAAGTAGACCTCATCTTCCTTCGAACTTTCACCAAACTCAGCCTTGACTACAGGTGTGTGTACTCAATTTTATTTCCTTTTTTCTTTTACATATTACACATGACGCTCACATAATAACGTACTCGATTCAAGTATCAATGAAAAGTTAATTTCGGAAAAGAAGTTCGGTGCTTTCAATATCGTTTCATAATATAACTGCACTTTCCGATTGTTATCTCTTTGAGAATGATACTTTTCTGTGAATGCAATCTTTTCTGCAAAAAAAAAAAAGAAAAGAAAAAAAAGAAGCAATAGAGAGATAATCTTTGAATTATAATAGAGATTGTATTATCTGTTCTAGACCTGTCTGCAGACCATTGTGCTGTCTTTAAGCTGGAAGCGAATCAGCTATTGTATAAATGAACAAATTTAATAATCTTTAATAAAAACATAAAATTTGAAGAGTAATAAAGAGAATTTTTTTTAATCAATAAATTATATACCTTTGCCTCGCTATCGATTACAATTCATTATCGCGATCGTCATCATTACGTTAGCCGTAATAACATTCTTTCACTCGTAGTTATGATATTATTTTCTCTTCTCCATGCCTTCATAATTATGTTATAATTTATATTATAATTACATTTCATGCACACACATTTCTTAATTTTTCCACTTGCGTCGCGAGATTAATTACATCTTCTGTAGCATTTATGACAAAATGTTGAATGTAATTCCGACTGTTTTTCTCAGAATCTTGTAAGAAATATCTGTTAAGACAAGCAGTTTATTCTGTCTATAAAACTTAATATTTTTCTTGATTATATAATATTTAATTTGAGTCGATTTTCAGATATATACCTATAGTTGACCATTATGCCGCAACTATTTGCCACTCCGCGTGGCGAAGGATCAGCCATCCAATTTATTCGCCACATCACAGCTCCGTTGCGTAAATGGAAATTAGCTGCACAAAACAATACATACAAATTGTGGTGAGAATTATTTATCTCGTAATATTCATTTCGCTTTAAAAATATATTTATATAATTTGTGCATTCACAATTGCTTATAAAAGAAGAAAAATATATCGATAGGGATATATCACGTACCGACTGCATTTAAAGCATAGCCGCGTCTCTTTTCTTTATACAAGTACCAAGCGCATGCTCGAAGAAGCGGTTCTTTTAAAAATTCTGACAGTTGCTTGTCTCCTGTCCATAACGAAGTGCCCAGGATCTTTTTTAAGGTTGATATCACGTTTTCTGTTTGTAAAATATCTTTTGCAATTTCATATTCTTGCGTGGTAAATATAAATGCCATGTCTATGGAACACACAAATACATACACATAATTTCTATTTTTTTTTTTTTTTTTCCAATAGCTAGCAGTTACCTTGTTTTAGTTTATCAAATAGCCAAGTCTTAAAATTTGGTATCGGCGATAAGCTCGACAATTGTTGTACAGCTGGAAATTCAGTTGTGATTTCGCTAGCTACTTTTTTTATCAAATAATTACCAAGCTCAATCCCCTGCGTAAAAACATCTTTTTATAGCCACATATACGTTTTCCACAGCGCAAAGCTGTAGTATATACGTAATTCATGTCAACTTGAAATTTGATTAGTTAAGATTTTCGTTACAAATCAATTACCTGCAATCCTTTCTGAGTAGAAACTATAGAGTAAAATATTGCTGCTTTTATTTTCGATTTATCTTCCTCAAGAAATGTTACACATTTCTTTGCGCTTCCCAAAATTCTAGTTTCAGCTTCGTCAATACCCTTTACACTATCTGTAATAACATTGAGAAGAATTAAAAGATTTACTAGGTACTCTTGTTTCTCTTTCTTTCCAATAAAAGAATTCTATTTTGAAAATTTAACAACAGATTTCTTTGCATAAAACCTGGTATAACATCACATAATGCTGTATGCAACACAACAATAGGTTCTCTTGGCATGGATGGGTGTGTAAATATGTAACATCTTCTATATGGTCCAACTCTGCGTTTCAAATCCAACCAATTTCTCATAGGATGTATCGCCTCGTAATCAGAAACCTTGAAATTTGCGAATAAAGAATGAGTACGAGAACGCAATAAAAAATACAAAAATTGAAAATAAATGTAATCGCAGATATAAAATATCGAAACTGTAATTACTTTTTGCAATATATCGCACGCACTTTCCCAAGTTATTCGTTCCATGTGTAAGAAACCCACAGAAAACCAGAGTAAAAGCAAATCTCGCAGAGTGTGATTTAGTTGCTGTATTACTATACTTTCACTTGCATCATTCACTTCTGACATTAGTTCCTAACAACAACAAAAAAAAAAAAACAATCGATCAAAATAATAATTTAACTTGATATCTACAACAAATTTCATTTTATTATACACTAAGATTTGGATCTCGCAATGTCATCCACAATCATCCATTCCATATGCAAAGATTCTGTTTTTCTATTATTATTTCTACCATTTATTATTTTTTGTTGTTGCTTACCAGAACATCAGTTCTCAAGTCAACCAAGAACTTGACACCATGCTGCAATCTTCCTATAATAATGAATAACCAATGATAAGCAGGTGTAAGAACATCTTTCAAAGTTCTCTCATGGACAATCATCTGTCGTTCATTTTCAGGCTATAATGAAAAAGTTAGGATATAAATAGATACTTAATTAATAAGGAACGATATTTATAATAAGGGTATTCTTTCAAAACAGAAGAAGAAAAGAAAAAAATATATTTATAAGCAAATACATTTGTATATAATGTTAAAAATATGTGTTTGATGGCGGCGATATTGAAATAAAATTGATACATTTGGAATATACATACACAATTTGATTAAAGCGTCGCAGATAACTAATTATAACTTAAAGAAAACGGAAAATAGTATACCTCAGTGCAGACTAATCTCTTGGCCACTTGGCATATCGCGTTGTGCTGTACAGCATACTGCGAAGCTAACGTACGTAAAATCCATTGGCGATTATCTTTATTGCTCTCGGTATATCTAACGCACAGCGCACGTGCCTTGTTCTGTAAATAAATACCTTTAGATATACAATGTTGTGAGAGAGAAAAGAAAGAAAAAGACTGCGCGTTATATCGTACAGTTGGGAAATATAACTTGTAACCTCTACGATCCAGTTGCTGATCTTGGTATCCTTGAATTTAAAAATTTCTCGCAATTCCTCGTCCACGTATGTGTGTAACTCGCTGTTTTCTCCGGCACGTAAAGTGGATGACGTTCCATATTCGCGTTTAACGTTGCGCTTCAACGTGGTCGCGAGTCTGCAACAACGAATAATTGGTAGAAGCTCGAAGGAAAGTTTCCTTAACATCGTAATCAATTATATCCGCGCTATCAATTATAACGAAACGAATTAGAGAGCGGGATACTTGATTTTCAACAAGTGTCACGTATCTAACAAGCCCATATCATACGTTGAAACATGCATCAGCTGATGTGACTTGTCAGATCTTTAGCCCGCGTGTGTGACTTGCTCTGTAGGTAAAAACACGTCATATCTTGGATAAAATCACGGACTATTTTACCGATATCTACAACTGCTGCAGTTGTTTACCCATGCGGCAAGCAAGTTGGCAATAAGGGGTCGGCAAGGAATCAGACGAAGGTTGGCAGCGCTTCTTGGAAGAGTTCTCTCCTTTTCGCGATACAAGTTTGGATCCCCTGGGCAAAATGGCGACGTCAGAGAATGACAAGTGAGCATTACTGAGAAACTGTCACGTTAAAAAATTATTGTCACGTGTTTTTTTCTCGAGGAATGTCAGAGTAATTAAATCTGAAAGAGAGAGAGAAAGCGATCGCGAATGTGACGCGCTTCGATAATAATAACGTACAGAATGCAAACGGCGCGTTTTTATTGCCATCTCCTTTGGGGTGTTTGGTGTTTCTTACAAGGTGATAATGCGTGCTTTATTATAATATATATAATGCGTCTGATTGTAACGTTACTGTACTTGGAATACGTTTCCCGCATTCTGTCCGATCGAGTTGTCATTGTTACATCGATGTTCCTATTCTTTGTATATCCGCAGCTCAGCATCTGCAGTCTGTCTTTATACATGTCGATTGCAATAGGTGAGCACGTAGCATCATCGTTCAGCGTTCTTAATCGAGAATGCGTGTTTCAGTTACTGCCATGGATTATGTTAAACTGTCACACGATGGACCAGTTGTACTAGGTGGGACGATTACCTTTAGAGCGGATTTGTACAGAGACGGCCAGCGACCAACAGGAAAATTCAAATACGCATGGAGCGATAATTCGCGAATGAAATATCAATATGAGGTTATAATTACAAAATGTTTCATTTGTTATGTTAGTTTATAGTAATCAAATTGTTGTTCGAAATTGACTACATGTAGCACAAAACGTCTACTAAGATGCTTTTCCTGCTAAAAGTAGTCATTATTAATTTTGATCATATTCAGCTGTTTTACTTATTCTTTGACATAAGAGAAATTCCTAAACATTCAGAGTCTACAGCTAACAATATTATTTAACCTTATGAATTTTATATACTCTAATGTTTTAGATAGTAACACCAAATACAACAACATTTTGGAGCATAAGTTATCCACGTGAAGGCAATGCTCCTGGAGACTACAGGGTGGAGTTGAAAGTCGATTATCGCAGTCTCTCAATAATTTGGGTGCCTGATACAAGTGCTCGTATCGAATTTCAGATTTCTGGTAAACATTATTGATAAAATTTTACTTTTGCTTTTTTCCTTGAAATATTACATCTTATTTTTATTATCTGTTTTAATTGCAGAATGTCTTAATGGTAATATAACCATAAAACAGGCTAATAAAACCATAGCAGAAGAATATATCTCCTCTGCAAATGAGACAAAACTAACGGTGGACTTGCGAAAGGGAGATTACGACTTTATAATAGAGAATGCCACAGCGATATCGACGTATTGGTTTATTGACTGCAGATATTACGGTCAGACAAATGATTTCGCTTTCGTTTATAATTTTACAAGTCCTGGCGAAACGCGTGATATAGCAGCTTTAGTGGTTGCTTCATATGATACATCAACGACCACAACTGTGACACCTATAACTACAGCTGCACCTGTTAACGTGACAACAGTCGCGCCAAATGTTACTACTACTACTACTACTACTATGGCAAATTCGAATGGGACTCGTGTCTCAGTCGTAACATTACCAGTAACTGTTACGAGTGCAAACCCATCGATAAAATCTACGACAGCTGCACTTCCAATTAATACAAGCACGATAGATATTGCCAACTTATCATTGCCATATATTTGCTCAAACACATCTCTCATTCCTCCGGATCCGAACAAAACGTATGGATACTTTTACAAAAAGATCCATGTTCGTGGTTAGTAAGAAGGCAATTAATCCTTTACGGGAAAATCATTCTAATTTAAATATAACTAAATGAGATTTTTAAAAAAATTATATTATAATATTAATGTATATATTTTTAATTTTTTTAAATGCATATCTTTAGCTCCTGTGTCAAATATCTCTGTGGAAGGTACAAATTGGATTCAACCATGGGACATGCTGTCTTTGAATGTGACCTGCAAGGGATCGGGCCCGTTTTCTAAGTGTCTTCAGTTTCACCGTGGAAAGTACAATGTAACGGGAAATGAGACGTGTGATAATGTAGAACACATGCACTTGTGCAATTTTTCCATTATTCATTATTTTCTCGAGCCCAGTGTCTACACAATATTAATGATACTAAGCAACGAAGTTAGTACACAGATTTATCCACTGACGATCAATATTTATAAGGGTAAATATCCTATCAGCGATATATTTATCAAGTATCGTAATTTATGTGGATTGTCGCAATTACGATAATATTTGCATTTAACGTTCTTACAGTTACAACAAAACCGCAGTTGTCGGTTATTATAGTGCCAGTCTCTTGCTCGGTTGTTGCCGTGGTACTGATAGTGTTTGGTGTGGCGTATTACATCCAGAGCAGAGCGAGATTCACGATAGAAGTCGCGGACTTTGATTTTGGGCAAAGTAATCCAGAGATGGAATATAAAACGTTTACGGAACGTTTACGCGACTCGTTTAATAACACTGTAAGACCTGACAGCAAACGGTTAAACATACGCTATTACGGCAGCATGAATCGCTGAAACATACAGGCTGTGCAAAGCTATGTGATCTCTATGCATCTCCATCTAATCTTTCTATTACCTTCAAATGTAGTATTTTTTTCTTTTGTTTTATTTTCTAGCCAATCTCGATAATTTCTCTTGCTTAGCGCAGATTTTTAATCTGATAAAACGAAAAAAAAATTCAGTTAAATTGATTAAAAATACGAAATTTCTTCCAAGACAGATAACTTTTTTGCTTTCTATCGCAAATAATTCATATCGATCGGTTACTAATATATAAACTGTTTATGGTAGGGATATAAACCACTCGACAATCCACAAACACTTCAGTGATGCATGAATGAGAGAAGCAACAGTTTTAAAAGCAACACTAAACTATAACAAAGTTTCTGCGAGGAGCAAGCGGAAACGAGTAATGCGTCAAGCAAAAATATCAGCAAATTCAACGATACTACTAGTGAAGAAGTGTCGAATGCTGTTGTGTGGTAATAGATCCTGGGCAATTTGATTTGAGGATGAATAGTGATTATAAAACGAGGAAAGAGAAGGAAGACACAACGTTGCACGATAATTTCCAATAATTGGCAAACGATCAAATCGAGATTGTACATAAATGAGGAAGTTACGATGGTGTGTGTGCGTGTGCGTGTGCGTGCGTGCGTGCGTGTGTGTGTGTATGTGTATGTATATATATATGTATATATATATGTGTGTATATATATATATATATATATATATATAGGCTGTGAATATAGTACGCAATGATGTATTAGAGTCGCTCTTAACATGATACATAGGAGAATTTGATATTTTTTTAAGGTCGCAACGAGTGATTTATTATCTCGTTTTATTATTATCTCAACTTACATCTCTTTTAATGCTTTGCCACCTGTTATTATTTTGGATTTGTTATTTATTAGCGATTGTACATTTTGCACGTGCGCGATACAGTAGTAATGAATTTAAGAGAGAGAACAATAGTACATTTTACTTGTAATATTTACACATGGCATATATGTAACATGTACATACATACATGCGCGTGCGCTGGGAAGAGGCTTTATTAAAAAGCAGAATAAAATTACATTATCGTACTAAGAATTTTTTTTACATAAGAATACATCTCTTATATTGTATTTATTATTTGTTAACAAGTAGATTTTTAGACAAAAGAGTTTGATTTCAAGTGAAATAATCGTTTTAGATAGAATTCCTTTATGGATCAAGTATATGAGACGCAAAGTTGGAGGAATTAATTCCGGAAATAAAATAATCGCAGTGTAGTATGGCGTAAGAGTAAGTATACATATATCTGCTATATCTTTAATAAAGAAAAATGGTAACAGACATACTGCTACCGTTTTCTACATTATCGTCATTTAGACGATTTTCGTGATATTTACTGATATATTATGATGCAATTATATAACACTTATTAAAATTAATGTAATATATTTTTCCAAATTAAACTGGTTTTAATTTGATTAGGACATAATGCAAAACAGCGCGCGTTTTAATCAGGCATTGAATTATTGACCGATCTGCGCATAGAGACCCTCTAATGATCACAGAGTCTGCAGGACACGAGCGCGCGCTTTGTATATGTGTATAGGGTCTATAGTTCGGCAAAACAAAAGAGAAAGAGAAATATATTTGTATACTTACTGCTGCGTCTCTGACTTGTAGAGTCTCCACTATAACCTAAAACACGTTGAAACACGTATAAAAACACAGAATCACTTTGCAAACAAATTAATATTGTATAAAATGATTGGATGTGCATTTTATTTACTTGTTAATACCTATAAAATGTTTTTAATTATAGTATTTAAATGAAAAAGTAACGCGAAAATAGATTTAATTAGGCGGGAATTGGGCTGAGAAATAGCGGACCAATCAGAAGTGGTTGTTTCTTGTCCAGATTTAAAGCGTTTTGCTAGGGACATTTTTGTAAAAGGGGTAAACTTTCTCAGACATCTCTTTTACGCCATGCCCGATGGGGAAAGGGAAGGAAGATTCATGGCGACGTTCTCCGCGGACGAGGAGAAGAGAATATTAACATGGCGACTTGTGCGGTAAATTGGGCTAGTCGCGCCCTATCGAGATGTCTTTGCACCGCGGTCGTACGGTGAACGTTTGTTGACGCGCGCACACCGTGTAATTCGACGCTCTCGTTTATCGGGGTGCGTTGACGTCGAGGACGCGCGCGCGCGCGCGCGCGCGTTTCTCACACGTGGTGCTGTAAACGCAACGCGCGGCGGCGGTCACGATGTCAGTCAGCTATGCTAGGATGAGGTCGTGCCACGAGGCGTCGTCGCCAACCTTGCCGACGTCGCCGACGTCGCCGACGTCGCCGTCATTGCCGCCGAGTAAGAACAACGCTAACGCGTCGCCCAGGCGTGCTGGCGACGAGGAGGATTGGCAGATGCAGCTGGCATTCTGCAAGCCTCGTCACAATGCCACGATCGAATACGTCAATTGTATCAGTCAGACTTGGCGAATGAAGGAGCGGGTACGTATGTACGTGTGTGTACGAATCAGCGCGACATGCTCTCGACGCTCGCTTCGCTTCGCGATTGCTAAACGCGACCGGGAACATAGTTATGATTTATCTAGGCCAGATATCTTACCGTGCGTACGTGTGTGTGCGGGTTTTTTTCTTTTAGATGAAAACAGTGAGTGTCGCTCTGGTGTTGTGCCTGAACGTTGGCGTTGACCCCCCGGATATCGTCAAGACGCAACCATGCGCTCGCCTCGAATGCTGGATAGGTAATCTCGCTAAGTTATGTAATTGCGATTTTGAGGTTAGGCGTGTGTAGTACGGTACCATCGCTACCATCAATGCCAAGTGATTCGCCTTGGACACGACATACACGATACTCCACGATGCTTCTCCACGAGCATCCTCTGGATGTTATCGCGTTTCAGCGCGATCTTTTCATCTTGTCAAAATTTATAATAAATTACAAATACATTAATATCGTTTAAAAGCTTTTCTTACTAGTGCAACTAACTAGTAAGACAAAAATATTAACTGATATGAGAAGAGAAATTTAAAAAGATTAAGTATTACATATTGACACGTAGAGGCAGATTCATAAAAGAAACATTCAAATTTGATATTTTACTTATTAAAATTTACATATTAAGTTTTGGTTTTTCATTTTCTGTTAACTTGTCATTTAGGTTAAACTAACCTAAATCTTATCATTAAACTGATAGTTTTATAGTTGTAATTTTAAAATTGCAGAACTATCAGTTTAATGATTGATTACTTATAGCAAAACACAATTTTACATTATTAGGTTAAGTCTAAGCCACAAGTTAATAAGAAAAATTGAGTCTAAGACTGAGTGTATGATATAATTGGTCTTTATACTATATAAAATATATTTCTGCATAAAATATAAATTAGAATTAGTTTGTATTTCTGTAATTATTATGTTATAATTATAATACTGTAATGTAAAATAGAAGCGTACTTATAAACAAAAAAACTTTAACATTTATCATATCAATATATATATACATATATATATATATATATATATATATATATATAAAATGAAGCATTTATATAGAATGAGACTTTTCGTTTCCTTACAAAGTAACAATCACAGATAATGACTGCTATTAAACAATATATTGCTTAAACTTGTATAAATTATGACAAACATATTTTCCCAACATTATTCTATAATTTTATGATAAATTGGATGCAAAATTATCAACTGATATTATTTCAGATCCTTTATCGGTGAGTCCTCAAAAAGCTCTCGAGACTATAGGTTCAAATTTGCAAAAACAATATGAACGATGGCAGCCAAGAGCTCGCTATAAACAAAGTTTAGATCCAACCGTCGAGGAAGTTAAAAAATTATGTACATCCTTGAGGCGAAATGCCAAAGAAGAAAGAGTTCTGTTTCACTATAATGGTCATGGAGTGCCCAAACCTACTACTAATGGTGAAATATGGGTATTTAATAGGGTCAGTATAAACTCAGGATAAATGAATTTATATCCATCACGTCCGATGCAATATTTATATATTGACAACAATCTACTTTTATAGACATATACACAATACATTCCATTGTCAGTGTACGACTTGCAGACTTGGATGGGTGCACCTAGTATTTATGTATACGATTGTTCCAATGCTGGGATTATAGTAGAATCTTTCCAGCAATTTGCAGACCAACACGAAAAGGAGTATGAGGTAAAAAGGAGGATACATAAATTTGCTTAAAGGTTTTAAGTGTTTAAAAGGTTTTAACAAAACATGTAATTATTGAATGAAATTATTCCTTACAGATGGAAAAGCAGCAAAATCGCACAACCGGGGTGGTATGTCCTGCAGCACCATGTTATAAGAATTGTATCCAACTAGCGGCATGTGCGGCTAATCAGATTTTACCTATGAACCCGAATCTACCTGCAGATATATTTACGTCATGCCTCACTACGCCCATAAAAATTGCAATACGCTGGTAAGAATTTCTGGCGTAAACAAAAGATATCTATGAGTATCCAATACATATATATCTTGTATATAAGTAAACATGTATGTATATATAAATTTATTTCTTTTACATAGGTTTGCTATGCAGCCTACATCCAAATTGGTTCCCAACATATCGCTTGATCTCATTGACAAGTATTATTAACATTATATTAAACTTATTAAATTTTATTATTTTTTGTAGAGAGAAATAGTTTATTAATTTATTAATATCTTGATACACACGTTTTTTTAGAATTCCCGGACAGTTGACCGATAGAAGGACAATGCTAGGCGAGCTTAATTGGATATTTACCGCCATTACCGACACGATAGCGTGGAATACTTTACCAAGAGGTAAGACATTTGAGTTGCAAGTTTATTGACGCAAAATAAAAGTATAACTATAATAATTATAAAAATATTCCATAGATTTGTTTCAAAGATTATTTAGACAAGATCTGTTGGTTGCCAGTCTCTTCAGAAATTTCTTACTAGCGGAGAGGATACTTCGTTCTTACGATTGCACGCCAGTTTCTTCCCCGAAATTGCCGCCGACTTATCAGGTTTACATTGACTTGTTATCTTTAAACATAAAAGAATTTCTTTACTATAACATTTACATGCTAAAATTTTCAATTATCGCTTGCTCTTAAATTTGAATAAGAGATATAAATTTGCATATCATATTTTTAGCATCGTATGTGGCAAGCTTGGGACATGGCGCTTGACCTATGCTTGGCACAATTGCCAACGGTTCTGGAAAATGAAGACCGATACGTGCATTCGTCATTTTTCGAAGATCAACTTACAGCTTTCCAAGTATGGCTTAATTTGGGATCAAAAAATCGCAGTCCACCTGAGCAGCTTCCAATTGTCCTCCAAGTGCTATTGAGTCAAGTTCATAGACTAAGAGCGTTAGAGCTATTAGGACGTTTTCTTGACCTCGGTCCGTGGGCTGTGAACCTAGCACTCAGCGTCGGCATCTTTCCATATGTTTTAAAATTATTACAAAGCAATGCCAGAGAACTGCGGCCCCTGCTCGTTTTTATATGGGCAAAGATTTTAGCGGTGGATAATGTGAGTGTCCGTACTTCCGCATTATTATCCCCATACACTGTTACGCTATGCTTCGTATGTATAAATTCTCTAATTTTAAATATGTTTCTCAATTGCAGACTTGCCAAGCAGACCTTGTGCGCGATGGCGGTCATAAATATTTCTTGTCAGTGCTGCAGGATACTTCTATCCCGGTAGCTTATACGTTATATTTAATCTTATCCGGTAACTACGCCCGGTCTACAACGGCTAAAGTTTCTCGTAACGAAAGTACGTTTAATAATGATTTCAGAGTGAGCATAGGACATTAGCCGCGTTTGTATTGGCAAGTATCGTAAACGATTACCGACCAGGTCAAGTAGCCGCAAATCAGGGCAGTCTGGTTTCAATATGCTTGGAACAATTAGGAGATACAAATTCTTTGCTACGACAATGGCTTTGCTTGTGTCTAGCACGACTTTGGCATAATTTCGATAAGGCGAGATGGTGCGGCGTGAGGGACATTGCTCATGAAAAATTATTCACCTTATTAAAGGATCCTGTTCCAGAGGTTACATGATTGTTTTTTTTTTTTTTTTTTTTACACATGCGAATATTTTCAATTATTTTGTGTCGATATATTTTATATATAATATATATATATATATGTGTATATATATATATATATATATATATATATAAACTTGAAAATTATAAAGGAATATTGTTGTTTGATGTACAGGTCCGAGCAGCTAGCGTATATGCATTGGGCACATTTGTAAACAGTGTTACAACCAGAAGCGAGCATGCAAATAATATCGATCAAATTATCGCAATGACACTTATTAATACAGTTTCTCACGATATGTGTCCATTAGTTAGGAAAGTAAGTCAAGATTGCAATCTATAGAATTGGTGGAAACAGTGGCAAATTGCTGACAAATTATTACGAAATTGTCTCTGCAGGAATTAGTTGTGGCTCTCCAGTGGATGGTGTTACATTTCGAAAATTCCTTCGTTACTCTTGCCATGGCCGAGGAGAACAGTCGAAAGGATCTCGTCGTAGAAACTTTATCCCCATTCAGCGGTATGAGACGTATTAGCTCGCGCGACAGATTGAAAATGTTATCCCCTAACAATACATACACCATAGATATGACCGATGGGTTTGGACCGCAGGATCGAATCAAAAGGGTATCGTCTTCGTCGTCCATTAGCAGTTTAGGTAAGGAATACCGATTTTTGAGAAAAGCCAAAGAAAAGTCAATTAATATTTTCTGTCTGAGCACTGAATCAAATAGTTATCTGCATTGATTCTTTCGTGTGTCAGGTAATAATTGGGAGTTCGTGAGGAAACCTTGCGAGTCACTTGGTAATAATGATTGGAAGTTTCATTGCATGTTCATATATAGTTATTGCTTTTTGTTTTTGCAACTGTGCAATTTTCACCGATAGAGTGCTTTTTGCACAGGCTTTGTATAATAGCAACATTTTTTTCTTTTTTCTTATTTATTAAAATAACTCTACGACAGCGACGTTTTATATGAATTTTTGTAAAATTCATCGCAGGTCATAGTTCTCTTGGAAACTTACCGAGTCTCTCCTATGGCAGTGTATATATGAAATTATGGCATGGATTGTGTAATCTCGACAATGATCCTCATCCGGTGGTCGCTGCTATGTCTCAAAAAGTTACCAATCATATTCGTAATAAGGTATTGATTTATCTTTAAGCGTTAGAATTTGGGGAAATATAATTTTTGTCATACAAAATATAAAAATTTCAGGTGAAAGCATCTTCCACCCCTAAAGAGGTAATTGAAACGAAAATCTCTTCGTCACTGTCTCTTCCGCCGTCTCCGTCAAATCGGACTGGTTATTTAAGGTTGGTCAAGATTTACTTTGTACAAGATGTAATTTTTATTTTATCTTTAACAATTCCTTTTATATGTTTACCGTTCAGCAAAGGAGAATCACCACCAACGACTGTCAACTCTGGAACGGATTTGTTGCGTTCTTCTTCCAGAGTTTTATCGCACGGTAGTCGTTCGAGAAAACCTGTTCCTAATACAGTAAGAATCAATTGCTCTTGATTTATTTATTTGATGTTAACTTTTTTAACGGAGGGTGTCCAAGACAAGATTATGACATAAATGGTTTAAATTTTATTTTTTAAGTTACAATAAATAAGAGAAGATATTTCAAGTACCCATTGAAATATTGATAATCACGAAGAATCACTCATGTGTACACACACACACACACACACGCACGCACCTGTCTCTTATACACATCT